GAACATAGGGCGAATACAATATATCATCTACTTCATGGCATAATACTTAATGCAATACTCCATGTTTTACTTAATACTGTAAGATGCGTGTTGGATAGCGGTCTTGAGTGGGGTATTAGATATATATTTAGTTATATAATGGTGTATAGATGTTTGGACATGATACTCATATGTTGATTATGCCGTGGATAGTCATAGTTATAAAATTTGTAATTTAATCGATACACAATTATAATTTGTTCACCACACCATGCTATCATTTGAAGAGAAACCACTAGTGAACCTATGGATCCCGGTCCATTTTTCTTCTCATTTCTTTTGGTCTTGATCAAACGCTTTCTTACAATTCCTTGTTTTACTTTCTTGCTACAACCAAATCTTTCATACACTCGTGCATTTAATCCTTGTGCTGCAACTCTAATGGTTCAGTAAACCCGAAGGTCACCCACTTAAGGGAATTGCTGCTTGATACATACTCTTACACTTGGGGGCCAATGCCTTCCTAGTTCAGAGGAAGCAATGTCGCACGTCCAATGGACCACATGTGCCTATTAAATAAAGACATATGGCATGGCCCAAATATAGGCCCATTTAGCCAAAAATGTCAGATAAGTCAAAAGCCTGGTTAAACCCATGGTCCTAAGTCAAAAATTAGTAGATATGGCCCATGGAAGGTCCTTTAACAACATGCTTGCATGTAGCTCATTTACGACCCAAGTCCATAGTCCATTAGGACCTACGTGAATTTAGCCCATTACCAACACGTGGGCCGTGCGACATGGTTCCAACCTATTGATACTTTCGGTCCATGTGTGGTCCATGACGTCTTTTGACCCATACGAAGCCCATTGTGTGTCTCAGACCATTAATGGCGCATGGTGCTTCTGGCACATCTAGAGCATGTGGTGCCTTTCGGCCATTAACTGCTCATGACGACTCTTTCGACCTATTAATGGCAGGTTGTGTCTTTGGTATATTGATGTCTTTTGGTCATTGATATCTTTCGGCCCATTAAGATCCATCATGGCTTTGGGCTATTTCCAAGTGTGGTCTTTTGGCCCGTTAACGAACGTGATGTCTTTGAGTCATCTCAGGTCTTTGATGACTTTCGGCCCATTAACGATTTGCCATGCCCATGGGTCCATTTCCAGCCCGTGATCTATTTTGGTCCATTAACAACCCAATATGTGTTTGCGCCCATTTATATCATGTGTGCTTTCAGGCATCTGTGGCCCATATTGTTTTTTGATCCATTTATGGTCTAAGGTCCTTTTGTCCTGTTTTGTGGCCCATGATTATTTTGGCCCATTAAAGACCGATGGCATGTTTGGTCCAATAGCGGACCATTGGAAGCAACCTACAATAATTGATCATAAAGAGGCACTCTACACCAGGAAATTATGCATATTACATTCACTGGACATCAATTCGCCGCTAGTGAAAATAAACACAACAACAAAACAACCGATTACATATGCTGGGCATCAAAATTCACCACCAATGCAAATAAACACAGCAAGAAAATAAATTCAGACAACTGAGACCACTTCAAGAAAGCTTAAAAAACGTCATCCTGGGTACCGACTCTGCCGATAAGTAGCTTAGGAAGCTTATGAACATTCCCTTGCTTAGTTTTCAAATTCTCCGTGAATTGTTGTTGCTGACCTGCAGCCCCGCACACTGTCAGCGCCATCACCACATCCGAAAGCAGCGCGCCCCTGCGGAGCGCCTCTGCTCTACCTCCGTCATCCTACACCGATGGAGGAAATCATTGAGAGCGTCCTTGGTCTCGATGCACCCAACTGACAAATGAAATTCGTCATCGTGGTGACGACGCCTATAGCCGGCGATGTAGATGAAGGTGTGAAGCCACTATAATTTGTCACGGAGGAGGTGCACGCCATCGCCCAAACTCCAACAACACTACCGCCACCCATCCTCTTCTGCCGGGCTTGTCAATGGCGATTCCCTCGGCCGCACGACTCTCTGTCGCCTCCTCTACTACGCACTACCGTTGCCACCACTCTTCCCTCCCTTCACCACTCTTGAATTTTGGAGTGATGGATCACCGACGCGCGGATGGGGCCGGAGAGGGGATAGTGAGGTCCGTCAGGTGACGGGGATGGATAGCGAGATCCCTTGCGCATCACCGCAATAGCGAGGGCGTGTGTTGGTGGATCCCTCAGATTTCGGCATGGTGTCGTGGTGGTGACGGTGAAATCAATATGATAGACGATAAAGGGGAATGGCCAAAAAATGTGATGCGTCTCAACTCACAAAAATTGAAGCAGAAGCCAATGAAACCCACCGCCTTGCCCAACGGCTGCAACGTGGCCGCTTGCGCATGCTCACAGTTTAACATTTGTGGGTAAAAAAGAACAGCTTGATCCGACAGACACGTTGTAGACACGCCGAAAATAATTCGGAGTATTGTTACCCTGGTCGGCGCATTCAAAGAGTGGTGAACCAGATCCATGAGTTAACAACATTCACAGAGTGGTGAACCAGTTCCACGAGTTAGGGCATCTCCAACAGTTGTAAGATAGATGTTGGTAAATTTGCCACCTAAACTTATATTTATTTTCTCACCATCTATTGGATAATTTAGATACAATCTATTGGAGTAGTTGTATGATAACTTGTTGGTTGATAACACGGGCATTTTACCAACAATACTAACATACAATCTGTTGGAGATGCCCTTAGAGCATGGTTAATAACATAGCCAACTGATGGCTATAAGGAACCGACATGTCCTCTATAGCCATTATCTACACGCACTCATACAATAGTGTGAGCTATAAGGTTGGCTATTACATCAGTACCTTTTCCCATTTTCTCTTTATCTCTTGCTTCACATTTATTACATTTAGCTAGGACTACGTATATAGCTACTCTCTTTACTTTTTCACATCTCTCTCCTTCACATAGGCAGAAATACCATGTAAGCGGGCTATAAGGCCACTTCCAATGCATAGGTGCTTAGATAAGGTTGCAAGCATACTAAAAAATTTAGCAACTAATGTCCACAATGCATAGGTGCTTCACTTGTTGGTGCTAAGCTCCCCTCATTTAATGCTTTAGCAACTAAACTATTCCATGCATTGGTGGGTTTCTTTCATTTAATTGCTTGTGCCTAGGTTCATGTGCTTGGCATTGGTTCTTCCTGGGTCATCAAACTCATCTTTCTCCTCTTTATTACCTTGCAACATCAGATTTTTTGCCTACATGACAGACTTAGCACCTATACAAAGTGGAGCATTGGAGAGGGCCTAAGAGCAACTCTAGTAGATCCCACATCCGGCCGGCCCGCAAAACGTGTTTGTAGTTCACGGAAAAACGCATTCGCGGCCGACACGGATGGCCGCAGTTGCAGACCCCGCATAACGGACCCGTAAAAAGGATATTCACGGAATATGCTCTTTTACGGGTCAACTTTGCGGGGTCAGATCTGGCACAGCTCCTCCCGGCCCGGAAAACCTAAATTCACACCTTAATTTGATCCAACATAATGCATTTCTTTGCTTTTTCAACAACATTGGATACATAAGACATCACCATATCTTTGCTAGAATAGCAAGACCAAAGAAAACAAGAACCATAAGTATGCATTTTAGAAGATTTCCAACTTCCATAACTGCTCCCACTAGTTGGACTAATATCTTCTCCATGCATTCATTGTTTATGTGCGGATTCTTGATTTTGCATTCTTCTTTCTTCATCTTTGGTTCGAAAGAAGTAGACGTTGCTTCCCCTCTAGTTGCACATGCAGCCGCATCATTGCCTTTGATTCTACTAAGGAGTGCACAAACATCTATTAAGTTTCTTTCTATCAATAAATCAATGTATTCGCCTTCCCAAAACCAAAATGAGCATCCATCTTCGTACACACATGAATGAGCATATTCGAAATGAGCTACCGCAATTGAACCAAAGAATGAGCTATCAAAATGAGCTACCACAAGTGCACGTACCCCGTTGTTTACGCATTTGGAGAACACCCATCCGGGATGCTTCGGCGTGCTCGAAGTCAGCCGCATCACTGTCCGCGTGCAGTCGTCGCACTGTATGAGCAGCATCGGCGAGCCACAGAGCCGCCGCGCGAGTGCCGAGCCTGGTGGACGGCCGGACGAATCCATGCCCGCAAACCATCGGCGGTGGCGGGAGGACGAACCCGTACCTGCATGCGGCAATGCACCCTTGCTGGGCTGCGGGAGATGCTCCCGACCATTCCATCGCTTGGCGCTGCCACCGGCGGCCGGAAAAGCCAAATCCGGCGACCCGCGATGAAGGGCCACAGATCTGCAAATCCGGCGTCCCGCCGAAGCAGGAGGGAGGGGAGGCCTCGTGCGTGTGGTGGCCTTTCGGCGTGCTCCCACCGGCTACTTTCGCCGGAATCTTGGGCGGCGGCCCGACGGTGGGGCGAGGGGAAGAGGGGAGGTGGTTGGTGGGGAAAGCGCGGGCTGAAATGTCTCCCACCAACCGCTTCCGCTTATATGCAGGGCACCACAGCGGCGAGGGGGAAACCCGCGTATTCGCGGGTTAGGGCCGAGATTTTGCCGTGCTTCTCAAAAAAATTTGCGGGCCGGAACGAGATACGGGGTCTAATCAGGCATGTTTTTCCGCCCGACCCGCATTTTAACGGTTATTTTACGGATCGGGACGAGATACGGGGTGTGCTAGACATGCTCTAAGCCCACTATTGTACTTGCTCCCGGCCCGCATTTTAACAGTTATTTTACGGGTCGGAGCGAGATGCGGGGTGTGTTAGACATGCTCTAAGTCCACTATTGTACTTGCTCTTATCAGCATTCAGAGAGTGGTGAACCAGTTCCACGGGCTATCAACCGTGGGATGCGTGCACCCCTTAAACCCCAACTTTTAGCAAACCCTCTCCTTGTCCTTGCTTTTGGTCCACTTTGTCCTTCCCCTCTTCCTCCTCTCGCATTGGAGTAGAATCGATTGGGCTGCTAGGGTTTGATCCTACCCTTCCTGGCACGATGGCGCATCCGCCCCCGCGGAACTGGGCCATGGCGCCGCCGTACCACTACCACGGGACGTCGCAGCAGGAGCAGGCGGTGCCAGCCGCGGAGGATGAGAGCGGAGCCGGGTCCGGAGGGCAGGAGGCGGAGTCGAGGTCACTCCGGATCCGCGAGCTTTTCCCCTGGATGGACGAGGACTACCTGCGCAGCTGCTTCACCCGCTCGCCCGAGGTGATCCCGTCCCATGCCCCTCGTCCCACCTACTCCCCTTTTTTTTCTGAAATTGTTTCCTATACATGTTTGTGCCCCTGCTATATGTTTCCCAATTTATGTCTCCTCAACTGAGTCGCGTTTACATGCGTGCATCATACTGCTCACTAGCACCACTGGGTCCTAGCTTTGGTGGTTGGTGCCCACTAGATTGTGAGCCACTCGCTATTGTGTATATCAGGATACTGTCTCACATTTCTATAATTCAGATGGATGATAGGGTCTCACTACATCCAGTCTTCCGTTTTACTATATGTTTCACAGTTGCTCTAGTGATAGTGAACTGCAGACGGCTACCGTGTTTAGCTCCTTACTCTATCTGCATTTCAGTTGCTTAAATCAGGCTATATATTTGTCGATTTTCTCCGATTACCCAATCAAATAGCATCAGGCATTGTATATGAAATCTTCTTGTGATTCATCTCAAAGTTTACGTGCTTTTCTCACTGTTTCCTCATCATTTCCTTCTAAAATGCAGCTTGTGACAGCAGTGATAACGCGGAACAAGGAGACCAAGCAATCTGAGGGTTTCGGTTATCTTACCTTTTCTGACCATGCCACTGCTGACCAAATCCTCCAGAGCTACAATGGCCAGAAGATGCCTAATGCTGACAGGGATTTCAGCCTCAGCTGGGTCCACTATGCTGGTCCTGATGATGATTGTGCCATATATGTTGGGGGATTGGGCTTTGATGTTACAGACTTCATGCTACACCACGTGTTCAAGAATCGCTATCCATCAGTTAAGAGGGCAAAAGTTATATGGGATTTTTTTGCTAGACGCTCAAAAGGCTATGGGTTTGTTGTGTTTGGAGATGTCAATGAACGCACACAAGCAATGACTGAAATGAATGGAGCATACTGTTCTTCTAGGCCTATGCGTATCGGACCTGCTACCTTCAAGAGTGGTATGGCCACCAACAATATGGTTTGCAATTATTTACTTTTGTAGCTACCGAACTGTGAGTTTTGATTTCTGGCTTTCTATGTGTCCTTAACATTGCAAATATCTTTTCACGGGTTTGGTTTCGGCATGTTGCAATTCCTAAAGCTTGCACACCTGCATATGTTATTCCCCAGGTGGTCTCTTCTTGCACCACTGACTAGTAAATATTAGCAGCATGGCTTCAAAGGAGTACAGTAATTCTTAATCATCCATGTTGTGATGGAATTAAAGTTAGTTCGCCAGTAATCATATTTATTATCCTGGTGCAGGCTGCCATGCTATCCCAGTAGGGCTTGTGTGTCACTTTGTCTGTGCGAATGTAGCCTCCCCTCTTCCAGCCCTTGTATTATGCTCTTCCTTTTATCATGGACTTCTGGTCCAGCCTCTATCGCAATATGTATTGCTGGGTACCAGTTCATATAACTCTGCCGCATTGTTGCCAGTGAGGGATGCACTGATGCATTTCAAGTTGCATGATACACACATTGTTTCACTTGCAAGAGTTTTGAATCAGTCGCATCAGGCCTATTGTCGGCTATCGCAAAACATTTGTTGATTATCTTAATGCTGGATTTGGTGCTTTATTTTTTGAAAATTCCATGCTTTAACAGTATCTACAGATGTGAACGTATTGTGCTGGGTATACATCCTATAATGTTGGAACATTTTAGTGCATTAATTCTTCACTAGTGCTGAGCTAATTCTCATCTACTGATGGATCCGAAATTTGCAATACAGCAAGTAATATTTGTATCAGCTACACCGTACACTTTTCATTAATGTCAGAGTCAATAGTTTCTAACAATACATTCCATTTCTGCAGATTTTCGTACACAAGGGACATATTCTGATTCTAACCAGAGCAATAGCAGAGTGAGTCCATGGTTTTACCTTTTAAAAGGAGTCACATGTATGGTCAATTGATCTCAGAATTTTTTTCATGGCTTGCAGCTTTTTGTTGGTCAACTTGATTCATGTGTGACTGATGAGGATCTAGATAAAGCCTTCAGTCCTTATGGAGAGCTTACTGTCAAGGTAATAGAGGGGAAGAACTGTGGCTTCGTCACATATTCGAGCAGGTATCTGGTCTAGTCATAATAAATGGTTTGACAAATGCCATGTGATTACATATGCTAAAAGAACATGGGAATAGGCAGATCTACCTGAAAAATACAAGTTAAATAATACCATATAGTAGTCATATATTAGCCTAGTTAGTTAACTGCCCAAGGCCCTCTTTTAACCTATTTGTTGTACCTATTATGTTGTCGAGACCAGAACCATAATTATTTATATTGCAATTTCGACAATTCTGAAATATGGTAGATTGGTGATGTTTATGGTGACGGTTGAGGATGGTAAATACTATGTCCCTGATGGTAAATTCTGGTTGAGAACTCCAGCCATATATGATAGGTGTGCGCAGGAATATGAAAACACAGATGCATCGTGCAAATCTTTAATTTGTCTGCCATACTCTCTCCACTGTACCACAGTTCTTCCCAGGAATAGACTGAATTGTGAGTTTTATGTATTTGCAGGGCATCAGCTGTGGAGGCTATGACAATTCTAAATGGAAGCCAGCTGGGAGATAATATCATAACAGTTAACTGGGCTCGTCCTGCTCCTAAGAAGCAGGTAGTCTTTATCTGTTTTTTGCCTTCTACTCCCTCTGTAGAAATATAAGATCTAGTGATCTAAACGATCTTATATTTCTTTACAGAGGGAGTACTTTCTAGTTATTTTATGACCAGATCACTTTGAGTTTTTCGTTGACAAGCATACTCTTCAATCACAAATATGAGCAGGACCAATGGAATGGTGTGGACTATGGACACCCCCAAAGCTCTGGTCCCGGTTATGGTTGCTGTCACGAGGATCCTAACATTCTTGGTTACACAGGCCATCCTGGATATGCATATCACCAACAGCAGCAGCCACAGCAGACCCCAGTACAGGTAGGTTCCATTTCTGATTAGGACCAGGGAGAGCCTTTTTTCTTTTCTGTAAATACCTAGCTATGATAAATGAATTATTTGTTTGTGCAGTGAGGACGCCAGAGCAGGGAACGTCTCAGTCGCAGGGTGCAGCGGGATTCTTGTGACATAAAACTCAGGAGGACTTTTGCTGGAAATAACTGTATTAGTTACTCAAGATGCCTGGAACGACATTTTTTGTGGCAAGTTTATTTCTCTGGGGAATAGTTGCCCGTGTAGCTGATGTGTTTCTCATTTTGTTGTGCACCATCACACAAATTCCCTGAGATGCCTGGAACAACTTTTTTGGAGGAGAGAATTTTCGGGAATATCTGTCTGTGTTTCTCCCTTTGTTGTGCACTGTCACGCGATGCCTGGAACAACGGTTTTGGCGGAGAGATTATTTCTTTTGGAAATAGTTGTTTGTTTTGCTTCCGTGTCTCCTTTAATCGCGCACCCAGAGATGTGCCCAAGTTCCCTGAGATGGGTGGAATATAAGGTTTTGGTGAAAAAAACAGAGATAAGCCGTTTTGTAGCTTTGGTCGAAGAGTTGTGTTGCCTGTAGTATCATAAAAAAACGAGTTATGTAGCTTTAGCCATTGTCACAAGAGTTGTGTTGCCTGTAGTATCATAAAAAAACAAAAGAAGTACATGCATATTTATAGGCTAAACCGATCTAGACCTCCAGGGCTCCAAACCGACCTGAACAATACAGCTCAGAAGCAGCTAGCTATACTACTCTACTACCAGTACAAACAACTCATTTACTCTTGTCATTTATAGCTTTAGCAGCTGACAGAACACGCAGAAGCCAAATTGACTACAGGCTGACTGCATGTTTTTACTAGCTAAGTGTTGGTCTGAACCGATCTATACTAATGCCCAGTTAACTAAGCCCAGCACGCAAGGTTTATATCCAACATTCTTCCGTAATCCTTGTGTGCTACCTTGACCGTTCCAGTCCTTGCTCTAAGCTCATGACTAACAACGGCATCACACCATGCTTGTCAGTCTTCTTGGATTTTGCTAGTAGGCTTTTGGCTCAAAGCCCAACTAAAATCTGAAATTCTCGTGGCTCATTCACGGGACTGTGTATGGTGTGAGTGAGACTAATGTTTAGTCTTATACTGCTAGTTAAGGGGGAGTTGCGTCACCTTATAAGACGAACTCTTCTACCACTTGTATGAGCATAAGAAGAGGAGACCTATATGCGCGCTCTTCCTCTTCGGGCCGGGTCGGGTTTTAGGAACGAGCCAAGGATACCGTGAGAAGGGACATCAGGCCTCCGGAACACCATCTCTCGTGATCCTGTATGGGAGAGGGGCGGTCGGGTTTTTTGGGAGCGCACTCGCATGACAGCTGGCGGCGACGACTTCCTCAATGACAACTTCTTCCCCGACCTCGACAACCTCTTCATCAACGACATAGGCGACAACATCAACGCCAGCGGTTCTGCTCCCGCTGCACCGTATGTGTTTTTGTCCTCCTTGTTTGAGATCGTGATAGAATTCCTATTTCTAGTCTATGCATTAGATTCGATCTATTCATCTACTATGCTAGTCCGCATGATTAGTTTGATCTCTTTTATTGTCGTCATAATTTATTTACTTTTTATTCCGATTAAATCTCGTAGTAATTTGCTCAAATATTCAACAAGTTTCACACCGATAAACTTCTTGTGACAATGGCATCACACCACTGCCTCAACATCACAACGACCCTGCCTAACAATAGCTTCACACCATCATCTTTGTTGGCCTCACATCCACGCTTCATATGAAAATGGTGTCACACCACTGTCATTTTGCACAGTCCCTAACGGCATCACACCGTCAGGCGTGCACTCACCTCAACTCCTCTCAAAGGAGCGCGGGCTCATTGTCCTCACAATAAGCCTTTGCCAGAAGTGTTTTGTGTTTCTCCTATGAACACCCATAAACATAATGTCCAAAGTCATTATAATTGTAGCACTGTACCTCGCTTTTATCTTTGTGTCCTCCACCGCATACACGTCCACGGCCTCTCATCATGAGAAGTTTCTCTTCTAGGCCTCTCGGCTCCAGCCTGTTGAGGAGCCCCTCCTGCACCTTGAGTGACCCAAAGGCTTCCTCCATGGTCATCTTGTTGATGTTACTAAACAAGGCAGTCAATGAAGCAACATGGATGAATTTGTTGGAGATGGCTCACAACACCTTCTTCATGACTTACTTCACCTCCATCGGGTCTCCAAGCTCACAGATACGCCCCACAAGTGTCGTGAATTATCGCAAAATTATCCATGGGCTCTCCATAAGCCATCTTGAGGTTATCAAACTCCGAGCGCAAGGACTGAATCCTTGTCTCTCGAACACGCTCTACGCCCGCATGCATGGAGCGTGGCGTTCCCCACATATCATAGGCGGTCTCCTTCTCTGCAAGGCAGCAGCGTCGCGTCATCGATTGACTGGGAGATAATTGTCAAAGTCCAGCTCCTCCATGCTTTCATCAACCTCCTTTGGCGAGCTCTCGCGATCAATGACACCCCATGCACCATTTGCTCCTAGGTGGCACTTCATCCTCATCGCCCACACTGTGTAGTTGGTCCTTGTCAGTCATGGGAATGTAATCATCCATGTTGCTATTGCCGCTGTTGTAGTTGGGTTGCCTAAGCTACTGGTCGTCACGCAAGGCGGTGCCTGAGGGCCCCACACGACCACCCCCGGACGCGCTGCGGGATCATGCGAGGGTTGTGGATGTTGGTTAGAGCCTTTCTTTCGTCGCAAGAAAGATAGTTTTATGGAAAAAATCACCTCGAAATTTCAGCCCGGTCGGAGTTACAGATCTTCGGCTATAAAAGAAACGATGCTCGACCAGAAAACAGTACCAAAAAACAGAGAGACAGAGAGAAGAGATCCAATCTCGGATGGGCTCCTGCCCCTCCGGGAGTCATGGTGGCCACGGACCAGATGGGAGAACCTCTCCCCATCTAGGGGGAGGGCATGGAGGAAGAAGCCGATGGGGAGCTGAAAGTGCGTTAAGTCGACTAGAGGGGGGGTGAATAGGCGATTTTTATGAATTCGTCACTGAGGAATTTCAGGGTGAGGAAATTCCTAAGAGAAGAACTACTTGCAGAGGAATAAGTACTCAGAAGTAAACGTAACAAAGCAAAGTAAACGTAACAGAGCATGAGCATGGTCTTCATGATGAAATGAAAACAAGCGCAGAGTACAGAAAGCGTAAACACAGGATAAACAGAATGAAGACAAACAAACTGAAGAAATTGAACTAAGAAAATTGAGAAAGTCTTCAGTCAAGGTCTTCAAACAGATATGAACAAGCACACAACACAGAAATGAGGAAATATAAGGATTGAGGAATTGAAACCAGTTAGCTCGGTGAAGACAATGATTTGGTAGACCAGTTCCAACTGCTGTGACAATTGTACGTCTGGTTAGGGCGGCTAGGTATTTAAACCCGAGGACACACAGTCCTGGACACCCAGTCCTGAACACGTAGCTCAGGACACTTAGTCCTCACCGTATTCCCCTTGAGCTAAGGTCACACAGACCTCGCCCAACCACTCGTGGTAAGTCTTCAGGTGACTTCCAAACCTTCACAGACTCGGTCACTCGGCGATCCACAATTTCCTCTTGGATGCTCTAGACCATGACGCCTAACCGTCTGAAAGATGCACAGTCTTCAAAGGTAACAAGCGTCAGATCCACGCAGGATCAATCTCTTCAGTGATGCTCAATCACTTTGGGTTTGTAGGTGTTTGGGTTTGGGTTTTCCTCACTTGATGATTTTCGCTCAAAGTCCTCGGAGGATGGGATGCTCTCAAATGACAAGTGTCAGTTTCTCTCGGAGCAGCCAACCAGCTAGTGGTTGTAGGGAGCGGCTATTTATAGCCTAGGGAGCAGCCCGACATGATAAGACATAAATGCCCTTCAATGATATGGCCGTTAGGTGGGTAGATATTTTGGGACAGCTGGCGCATAACACATCAATGGTCGGAATTTTGAGTATCAAATTCCTCAGGGCCATCATGTTCCTCATTGTGTAGGCAATCCGCACTGGCGAATTCCTAACTCCTCAGTCAGAACAAATTTCTCAGAGACCAGAAGAACTTCGTCTCTATCACTGAAGAAATTGATTGAGCTGTATGAGATTTCCAATGGCTTCACTCGAAGGGATTGGTAGGTGTAGGATTTGAGTTGAGCATCACTTGAAATTTTTTCCTTAGTATTTCCTCAACCACCTTTAACAGTACGGTGTTTCCTATGACTCAAGAAAGAGAAAATGAAACTACGAAAATAAAAGTCTTCATGCTTCATGTTCCTTGAATGAATACCAAGTCTTCAGGATTACACCAATTTCTTCACTTTCAAAGTCTTCAGAAAGTCTTCAGAAATCCAAAGTCTTCAGTCGAAGAACTTCATTTTTAGGGGTCGACTTTCTCTGTAAACATCAAACTCCTCATAGACTTATAGACCTGTGTACACTCACAAACGCATTAGTCCCTTAACCTATAAGTCTTCAATACACCAAAATCACTAAGGGGCACTAGATGCACTTACAATCTCCCCCTTTTTGGTGATTGATGATAATATAGGTTAAGTTTTCAATGGGGATAAACATATGAAGTGTAAATACTAATATTGAGGATTTTGATTGCAAGATATAGAAGAACTCCCCCTGAAGATGTGCATAGTGAGGAATTTTCTTTTGAAGCAATGCACACTTTGAAGAGTAGAATCATGGAGATCTCCCCCTATATCTTGTAATCCATATACGCATTTAACATACAATATGAAGAATTTGAAATGCATGATGAAATATGGTAACTGATGTAGTTCAACATGCGTGCATTAACATTAATGAGGAATAAGCATGCAGAAAAACTCAGCAAAAGTATCAGACCACCATAGAGTTTAAGTTTACAACTCGATCGAATAAAGTCTCAGAAGAACGAGAGTTGTAACTTAGAAAAAAAACGCCCATATAAGTAGACCCGCTTGAAGACTAACTCAAATTTCTCCCCCTTTGTCATCAAATGGCCAAAAGGGACGAAAAATGAGGACTAACGCCCCTGAAGA